GACCCCCCGACTGGCACCTAACCTCCTCTCGCACCGCTCATCGTATGCTGTCGACATTACCGCTGGTGCCATCTCGATCTCGTTTCACTCTCGAATGTGCCTAGCTGTGACCTACCCCCGACGGCGGCTGGCGGGGACTTGTTTCTTCGTCACCTACACCGCCACCATCGCCCCCGACAAGCCTCTCTACACTGTTCTCGCCCAAAATCGCTACGTTTATAGAGTTCTTCAGTGAAATCGAACTGGCATAAAGAACCTGGAATGGGGAGTTAAGCTCACAGGGATCACCTCCCAGTCAGTTACCCATATGAATCAAATGAGACAAAAATGCTGGGCGATTTGTTTCTGGTCCAAAACTGCTTTTTTATTAGGGAGAACTAAACCATGCTTGGAAAAATTTACGTCATGATAGGTGTCTTCTTCCCCATAGAAGGTGCTAAACTTCCTTAACTTCCCAGAAAACTTGGTTTCCTCAATAGTTCTTAAGGATTCCCTATGTCACATCCATGGCTTCCTAACGCGCTGTATTGTTCCCTCTGAACCCCATGTGGGTAAAACTCTTCCTTATGTACAGTTTTGTACCGTTACGAGTTACTTGGGTTACACTAAAACTAGGTAATCTATTAACGACCTTGTAGCTGGTTTGTCACCCCCAACGGGTGCAACCCAGTCAGCCGACCGACCTCTGCCACTTCTCAGTGTACAGTAGGCTTTTGTACGTTTTGACACAAAAACACCATACTATCGCATCACGTACATATGTGCGTATGAGCTGTTTTTTTCACATTTCTCACAGAATTACTTTTCTACAGTAACTTGAAACCCTTTGGAATCCCGCTAATGACTCAAGGGGAATTGAAATTTTGAAAAATTTCGGACAGTTAAAGCCAAGCCACTTCTAACGTCACTTCTATATTTTTGCTATTTTTCACATCTTACTGAATTATTCGGTGCACCCTCTACCGTATTATATCGCCGTTGTGGGGCTGCCATCAAAGGCTTGACTGTTTTTTTTCAAGCCACCAAGGGTCCATTTCCAACACTGCTCGACACCGAGACCGGAGGTCAGTTGGATTTCCATTGTTGATTTCCAATAAGTCCTCGATTTAGGAATTTTTGAATATCCTAAGCAGGGCCATATCATTCACTCGCCTCGATGGTAAGTCATGGTCAAATTCTCATATGTTCTTGTGGAATTTTTGTTACAATTTGAAAAGCCCTTTGGTCAGGAGAGGGGGGGACGGCGGCCTGCTAGTTGGTTATCATTTGGAGGCGCTCTTGGCTTAGGAGGGGAGGGGTTAGTGGAGGAGGAGGGTTGGGTATTCTGTGGCTTCGACGAATTTATTTTTCTTTAAGCCGTCTTGGTGGGGAACCTCGTGAAACTCTTGTGAAGCCTGAGAAATCGCGTGAAATTTTTGTGAGGACAAGCCATGCTCGTGTAAAGGTCTGTGAAATGTTAGGTGGGCCCTCCATTAGGTACAGTTGTATTTGCTTTACACGAGTTCACAGGCACTGACAAGGTTGCCTGCGCAAGCATCGCTGAGTGCCATGCATAGCTTCGCAGGTCTCATGTTGATGCGAACCAAAGATGTCCCCCCCCCTCACCTCTATGCAGAACCTCGTCCATTCAAAGTAGCAGCTCAATACGAACAATTCTTGATGGCCTAAGAATCCTTCATCTATACTGTTCTGTGTACTGGTAATCTAATTCTACCTGCAGTGGTACTACCCTAATGTTATCACCCAAACCTCTGGTGTGTTAGGTACGTGCACACTGTTCAGCAACAAGCTCTTGATCAGGAATCGTTCTTAAAAAGGCACGGTTTAAGGTGAACCTAAAAACAATCTAAAACGGTCGTAAACAATTTACAGCGGCGATCATCCTTTTATTGACGAGAGCGGTACTTTCGGAAGTTTCAAAACGAATGGTAGACGCCAGTTTAACTTAAAATTTTTAATAAATTAATCATTAATTTATTTTACTTTCAACGGCTATATGCGCATTTACAAGTACATGGAGACTATGTGGTATATCTGAGGGTGTTGCTTTTTATGGTTCATTTATTTGTATGTTTGCCATCTGACGTTACCTTCGCACGTACTTTGTCAAACCGTTACCTTTTTTGGTCCGATTTAATGTCCTTGGAACTACGCCGAGTGATTTGAATGCTTGGCTTACAGTTGAGGGCCTCGTTGTTCTTGAGGGTGAGGATAGGGACATTTGGAGAAGGGCTCGTGAGGCTTGTGCTACATGAAGGAGATGAGGATTTATGGGTAAGCCTTGTGATGGAGGGAATCCCGGAAGAGCTCCATGATTCTGCACAAGGTGATCTGCCTGCTCAAAGCGATCAACGCCGACTTGAGGGTTGCGATATGCACGTCAAGTTAAGCGCATTTTCTTGAGATGAGTGGTGGGCCGTACCCTGGTTTTTGTTATTTTTCGGACATTCTTCCACGTCATGAAAATTATTTACAAGGTCCTTTTAATGACTCGAGCATGACCTGAGTCAAAAGCTTCAGTTCCTTAGGGAGCTTATCCCTTTACTAAACTGAAATCAGCCATTATTTTCTGAAATTTGTTGCTACCGATTTTCCGAGTTAAATTTTTCCATCCTTTCAAGAGGCTAAGCAACTTTTCTGTTTTATTATGTGTCTTTGCTTTATATTGTCGTCGGCGATTTGCCTCCAGGAGACCACTCGTTAGTCATTTTCCGATCTATGGGTGGTCTTATCACTTCGCTTATCATTCACGGCACGAGTTCACGTTACTAAACAACTAAATCTGTTTTGAAACGTGCTGTCGCGTTTTTCAAGCCAAATTTCACGTAGCAGCTTCGTAGCGGCATAGTGTCGCGCCACGGTCATGACACATCTTCGAGGGATGAATTACCCGGGGCTGCCACTCATAGAAGGTTTTGCTGTGTAAGAACGTCTATGGTAGGGGGTTTAAACTTGTCCAGTTCATTGTGTCTTCGGGTTTCATTCCAGTTGCCCACTGCACTACATTTCAAATGATTGTCGTATGGAATCTCATTAAAAACCCTAGATGTTTTTCTGGCGCTTAAATTTCTACAAGAACTGTTAAAATGTGTGAAACATAAAGGTGAGCTTCAGAATGCGGTGAAGGTCGGTCGTTGTTCTCCAAATAGCCTTTGGACTAACTGCATTCTTTTACAGCACAATTTTGCTGGCTGACCCTCTCGCTTCTCGTTACTCTTTTACGAACAGGTTCTACAAAGGTCTAGAATGATAGGTCCTGGAGCAGCTTCACTTTCTATTTACACCCAATTTGAGCTTTATCTAGCGCTGAAATATTTTCTATGGCTTTTCGAGCTCTCGACCTCGAACTTCATGA